GTGTGCGACCCCCCCCCAGCGCTGGCAGCACCCACCGCGGTTCCGCAGCAACACGGGCGGGGGGTTTTGGCTGGCTTGGACCATTCCTCTGGCCCTGGCCCGGGCCCCGCAGAGCCCGACCCGACCAGCAGACGGGCTGTGAGAGAGAAAATCTGTTATTTGCCAGATAAATATCACAGAGAAAACAACCCCGTTAGAGTTGCTCGGTGTGAAATTCTGATGTTAATGGGGTTTTACTCTTGAAACCTCCAAGCTCCCCTGTTCTAGAGGTAACGAACTCCAACATCACCCACCACCACACCGATACAATAGGAACCTTCCCACCACACCACTAAAACGGAAAACGTGGTATCAGTTATTTGGCACTTTTGAAGTTAATTAATTAACAACTCAATTCATCCTCTGTGTTAGTTATTTTTAGCGTATTTACATTATCTATCTGGGCATCTTTCACTGCAGAAAAAACCTGCCAGAGTCAGGAGAACGTCACCAAACTACCAAACCCCACAAAAGCTGGTGCAGCAGAGCCGTGCCTCGTGCCAGCGGCGCGCGGGTCGCCCGAGGTCAGCAGGTCCCCGACAGGTCCCAGCCAGGACCGATGGTCACGTGCAGGTAAATCCCGACCCCCAGCAGGAGCGATGCAGACTCAACCATAAACCTTCTCCCACGCCCGGGACAGAGCTTCCTTCGCGCCCAAGCGCAGCAACGCTCGGCTCTCTCCCCCTTCTCACCGTGATTTTTAAAGTGAGACCGAAGAAACCGGCTCACACGCGCCAGTCCCCAGCGGCAGTGACCCGGAGGAACGGGGAGAACGGGGCCCCGTGGCAGCGGCTGTGCCACACTGGAGCCCTGCGGACCGCGAGGAAGTCAGAGATTCAATCACCGTACGGATCCAAACGCTCCACAGCCCCGTCGGTGAGATCACCGAGCCCAGACACGTAACATAATTCACATTATTCTTTTCTGACTACCTAGGAAAGAGAAAGGACGCATCAGCGAGGTTTACAGGTGGCCCCCATAAACAGCGCAACTGGAATCACGGCGTTACGCCCTTTAGAAAACATTTTCCGACCCTTTTACCCAAGGGTTGAGTCACATAAAAGCCGCGTAACAGCAGCGGCAAGAGCCACCCCGGGGCTGCTGCCCGCAGGTATCGCCCCTGACGCTGCGGGGGGCTCCCACGGCCGCGCTGCTGCTTTCGGGGGACGTTTCCCAAGAGCCGCACCCCGTGTCTGCAGCAGGTGCCCCCTCTTCGGTTACCTGCGAGGGTGTAAAAACCGATTTAATGAAGGCGAGATAGCAACACAGCAGAGGAAAGGAAAAGCCCCAGCACAGAGGGCGATTTCAGAAAAAGAGGATTGGAACCACAGATGCAGGTTTTACAGTGTTTTATTTTTCCAATACCACAAGGGACATACACGGGCAGGCCCCCCCGAGGGCTCTGCACACCAGACCACTTCCACCGTACACTCCCGTGGCCCCGGAGGAGGCAGAGCCAGGCCCCAGCTCCGCTCCCCATCTTTGGTAAGCAGGTTTCCCACCTCCGCTCCGCCAGCACCAGCCCCGCAGCCTGTCCGTCCATCCATCTGTCCGTGCCGGGGTCCGCGCGCTCAGGCGCGTTGGTCTCTCCCCATCCCACAACGTGAGGCTGTCGGATGCATTAAGGATAAACCAGTTCAGAGACTACACTTGTTGCATCCCTCAGGCATCTCAAATAGGGACTCGCACGGTTTAAAAACACCAAAGTGCATGGTCAAGGGAGGTAGGACAGAGCTAGAAAAGGGACAAGAAGAAAAAATAAAAATAAACCCCCTACAATTCTTGCTGCTGCCTGCTTAAACAGAAGGGGCCGACTTCTCCCCTCGCTGAAGCAATTCCTTCTGGATCAGCAATTGCTCCAAAGAGGAAGAGAGTCACGTTTTCTCTCTCCGGACGCACGAGGACCTTCCCCCTCCGGCAGCTCCACTCCAGCCCCGGCGGCAGCTCAGGAGCGAGCGGGGAGTCCGGCGGCCTCGGCGCGGCCCCAGGCAGAGTCCACGGGCAGAGGGAGCTGCCAGAACCCAGACACCGTTGCATGTCGAGCCTCACGTTAGGTAAGACAGAATACAGTGGCTCTGACTACAGATGCAGATTAATAACTAACACCACTTTAATGCAATACTGCTGTAGAGCCTGAAAATCCAAGGGAAAAAAAGAACCAAAAAAAGAAAGAACCTTTTATGTTCTATGTACATTACATCCATTTACAGAGTTGGCCAGTACTGTGTACAACATATAAATACATGATCAAACAGATGCATAGAGGATACTTACAGGAGTCAAATAATTCACTTTATACATCCAAGAATGAAAATATAAAAAAAAAAAAAAAAAAAAAAAAGAGAGATAAAAACACTGCTGTAGATGTTAGATGATGGTCACACAGATGCACAGCTGGACGCCTGCAAGGGGTCAGACGCTGCCGCTGTGCCGGGGAGGGCCAGGACCCGCCGGGAGCCTCCAAGCTCCCACGCGTCGGTGGAAGGCGGCCGGGAGGGGCCGCGGCGTCACCTGGTCCCCGAGTCCAGCCGGGCAGGTCCCGGGGCCGCACGTCTTCCCGCACACCAGCGGAAGGCCAGCGCTTGGCACCTGCTGCTTGTATTTTTTTTCCTCCTCTTCTTCTTGTGTCCTCCGTCGGGCTCCGTGGGGGGCTCTGAGCCGCCCGGCTCTGCTGGGCCCCCCGCACCGTGCGGCGTCCCGGCGCTCCCCACGCGAAGCAGGGCCGGAGGCGGCAGGAGGGGAGAGTGGAAGACTGTGGGGCCTCACCCAGCGCAGCCCCGGCACAGAAACGCCCTGTCCAGGTCCTCGGGTGCACGTTTCCTCCAGCGAGGGTCCACAGCGAACAGGCGCGGGCTCAGGTGCCGGCCCCGGGGCAGGATCCGGATTCCCAGGGCAGCAGGAGGGTCGCCGGGGGGGCGCAGCCCACCGAGACGGGAGCGTGACCGCGGGCAAGAAAGGGTCCTGCACTGTCGCTTTCAGTGGGAAGGCAAGTCAACTTTCCTCACCAAAACAAAGTGAAATATCATTTCTACTATAAACAGAATCGTATTTTGTGTACAGGTCTTTAGGATCAGTCGTTATCAAAATACACACACTGAATATACAGTTTGTCCCATGGCCATAATTTATTATCTCACCACAAGGCACAATACACAGAGCTTAGAGGGTCCTATACAGTCATCGTGGCAGAAGGCCCCGCAGCCTTTACACATGATCATGGCTTTGAGGCTGCACGAGCACTTGAAGGAGATCTCGTCAACGCGGGCGCTGTCGGCAAACATCTGCACCGAGAGGGACGCGTTACGGTTTGCAGCAAAGTTCGCTTTGTGGGTGAGCTGCATCACGCTCCCAGCCAGACTTCTGGGAAAAGCTGGAGTGTTGGATGAATAATTAAAGCTGGTGGAATTAAGCTGCAGCTTCGAAAGCTTCCCATAAAATGCTTGCTTGATGTTGAGCTGAGAGGGTATGGAAGAAGGCTCCAGAGGGTGGTTGTGTCCTTTGCCCGGTTCCCTCGAAAACTTAAAAAACGGCAAGTCCATGACCAGCGGGACTCTGCGCAAACGCTCCGCGGGGCTCGGGGCCGCGTCCTTCTGGTTCTCCGCGTTGCTCTTGCCCGGGCTGTCCCCCGCCAGCACGTTCTCGTTCCTCCCCCCTCCCGGGGCGCCGGGGTGCTGCTTGGGGGCCCAGCCCTCGCGCGGGGCCGCTCCTCCTCCCGCTGCACAGCCCTTGCTCAGGGGAACCTGTTTGCTGGGGGACGAGGCTCCCGCCGCTGGAACTTGATCCAAAGCCCCGGCGCGATGCGGTCTCGCAGCGGGGCTGCAAGGAAAACCAGAGCCAAAGAGTTTTTTGCCTTGGACGCCAACGTAATTTTTATTGACCAATGCACCTCCTGTCTGGTCCGGACCAAGAGAAGTTACAGCTGGAGATAAAAACTGAGGCTCCACAGAGACGTTCAACTTCTCTGGACTTTCACTTGTGACAACGCTTGTCGAGGGGTCGTGCTGAGGCACCCGATGGACCGTGGACAACTCCTTTTGCTCCTCAAAGCTACAGGAAGAAAATGTTCTTTCCCGAGGGCCCGTGTCTTCAAGCTTCTGAGAGGCACTTGCCACATTGGCCAGTTGGTCTTGGCAGCTTAAAGTCGAGCCACCTTTGGAATGTTTTTCTGGAATAGATTGATCCTCCGCATCCTCTGCGCTCGGCAACGCCCCCCCGGACCCAGGCTCCCTTTCCTGGGGGTCCGCGGAAGATCTCACCGAGGGGAAGTCATCGCTCCTGCTTTGGGCGCTCGTCTTCATCGCTACAGCCGGAGAAGATTCTTTGCCAAAACAGCAACCGCTACCTCCCTCCACTTGCAGGGAGAGGCTTTCTGACCGCGCGTCCGGCGGCGCCTGCACCATTTCCAGCTTGATGTTGGCGTGAGGTACGGGGAGAACTTCTTCCAGCGGAAGGTTCCCCTTCAGCAGCTGCAACACCAAAGGGTTGGGGGTTTCTCCAGAGGCTCCGGGCCGAGCAGAACCCGCGGGCCGCTCGGCTGTCTGGGGCAGGGACCTCTGAGGCGGAGGTGGGGGGCTCATCGCTGCGCCCGCAGGGAAATCCACAGCATAGGCCGGACCAGCCCGTTCCCCGGCTGCTTTGGATCTAATCCCATCGCATCTCTCAGTGCTGCTGGGGCAGGGGGACTCTTTCCCAGCCGCCTCCCTGCAGGCGACGCTTCCGCAGCATCCATCCATCCCCCCATTCTCGTCAGCTTCCAAGTCTGAAGCAGTGTCTGTTGTTTCACTGTGCGTGCTCCGGATTTCATCGTCTCCCTTCGCCGCGAACTCCTGAGCCTCCCCCAGCGGCGCGCGGGCGCTTTCTGCTTCTGCTCTGGGGCCCCGCTCCCGCAGCCGCGGTTTTTCGGGGGTATCCACCCTGCTCTGAGAGCTGAAGTCAGCGTGTGAGGAGGGTTTCCCCAGAGGCTCTGCGCCCCGTTCCTCACTGCTCACTCGGCCACCACTCCCTCTCTCCGCCTGCAGCCGCGCCAAGTCGCCCGGCGCAGGGGCTGCCCCCCACCCCGCAGTCCCCCCGTCGAGGCGATCGCCCGCAGCGACACGTTTCTCCACCAATGTTTCGGAGCCGTTAAATCTAAACCTAGATACCGTGTCTGGCTCGTGGCACTCCTCACCACCCGATGGCAGTTCTGGCAGCAAAGCAGGACAACTCGAGGAGTTTTCCTTCAGGTCAGAATGACAATCCAGCTGCAGGGCGGGAGCACGGCCAGCTCTGGGCTCTGACACGGGCCCGTCTCCCGCCGGGCTGAGCGCAGCTCCCTGCCCCCGAGAACACGACAGACCGTTCACCGGAGGAACCGCGCGCTTCAGCTTCGGGCTCTGCCTCTCCTGTGACGCAGCACAAGGCCGGGTTTCGGTCCTTGGGTGACAGAGGAGCTGCTCGGGGCTCTCCTCCTGCCTCTCCGGGGTTGCACTGCCTAGAGACGGCCCAGTCAAAGCGTCACACAACTGCCTCCTGGGGGAGCGGCCGCTGGGCCGAGCCCCCCCTGAGCTGCTGCCCGCAGCCCGCTCCCGGTCGCCGCTTCCCTCGCTCTTCGAGGAAAAGGGATCTTGTCTTGAGGAGAGGAAGGAATTGGTGGCAGCCCCCCCGGGGTTCACCTCCGCCGCGCTCAGATGGGCAGGCGACAGTAGTTGTGCTCGCTGTAGATCTGACGAACGCTTTCCACGAGTTCTCTTGGATCTCCTGCGCTCGGAGCGGCCGCCGGGTTCTCCCCCACCACCTCCTTCGTCAGGGCCTCTCCCCCCGCCCGGGCCACCCCCGCCCCCGATGGCGGCTGCAGCGGCTTCTCGCTGGGCTCGGGCTTGCAGAGCGCGGGCTTTAATGTCTGCGAGAGTCCTGGCCCCAGCCCTGCCCCGGCCGGAGGGCTCCGTGCTGGGGATGATCCGGGGGCATATCTGGTAAGCGGGCTGACCTTTAACCACCCAGGGTGGTTTAATACGTGAAAGTTGAATCTGAAAGAAAGGGAAAAGCCGTTAGTTCTAACACTTGACCATTTTCAGACAGTGAAATGCATTATACTAGCATCTGATCCATCCTAAGGATTCAACAAAAATTTTAAAACTCCAATTTAAAACCCAATTTTGGCAGAGCAGTGACATGTTCCCTATATCCTCTGCTGATGCCCCTGACAGGTGATATGCAAAGTTCAGTTAAATAAGTGATTTCTGAAACCGAACCAGCCTCCTTCACATCAGGACGACTACCCTGACACTAACGAGCTGGATACCTCTAGTCAAAACGGGAAAAGTCAGAAGGGATGCTGAGATTCTGCGCCAAAGGAAAGGAACTGAGAAACTACGCAGGATAAAGAACACAGTTTGAAGGTCACTTCTGCGATAAGTCAGTTAGTTTCAGGAAAAGCCATTTCTGTATCCACAGAAACGCAACCTAACAAAGTCAAGGTTACCCCGCACTCTCGTGCAAAGACCTTGGGATGATTTTCCGTTCTCTGCCTGCCTAAATAAGTACAGTGTGGCAGTCAGGGGCACTTAGCCAGCTCTACCAATGAAACCCTTCTGCCTTTCTCTTAAGATGACAACACTGGACATTATTAAAATGTTTTGATACTGCTGAGCACAACGGCCGTGAGATACCAAGCAGCTATAATTCTCTTTCCTACCCGGATGGGTGGGACTTTTGGCTCCTCTTTAGTAGGCTGTGGCTTTTCTGGGTGAACACTTTCAATTGTGTTACGAAAGGACTGACGATCTTCAAGCCGGGGCTTCTTTTCGGGGAAGGACGCAGAGGCAGCCTCCTCAAAGCATTTCCTCTTCTGGTCCTTGGCCTCCCGAGCAGAGTTCTCCTGGGGCAAACTGGGAATTCTGTTTGCAGCTGCCAGCGGCAGATCTTCCGATTTACTGTGTAACTTGGAAGTCTCTGGAGAGAGGTGCAGTTCTGAACCCTCTGCCTTCAGTGCTGCCGCCGCAGGGCTGGTCAGATCATCCTTCTTCAGGTCCATCTCAGGCTTTGTCTCTTTGTGAAGAGAGGAGTCTGGCCCCACAGAGGCAGCCTCTCTGGCCGCCTCGGTTTGCTCGGGCTCGCGCAGTTTGTAGAGGCTCCTCCTGGCCCTGCAGCGCAGGTCGGCCCGGGAGCGTTTTTTGAAGTGCCCGTCCCTCTGCCGCGCCGCGGGGCCGCGCGCCAGCCTCGCTTCTCCCTTCGCAGACAGCCCCGTCCTGTTCTCGGCATCTTCTTGCACCAAATTCTGCTCCTGGGATTCCTCTTGGGTCAAGCCCAACCTATGAGGCAAACATAAAAACTAGCTAAAAGCTAAAGCCCATCCTAATTTAAGCTTTTCCTCTTTTCCTTAGAGCTGTGCTCTGTATCACTGCACACAGGCACGGCCAAAGCAGAGATTCATCGAAACCCCATGAAGTCAGTCTGCAGTGAGGTAACCTCCCCATCTGCTACCCCACGTTATCATCACAGGGAATGAGAAAAATAAGAAAATTAAAAGATTTGTGATGGAAAACAAGTAATATTAACTTGTCTTGGAAACAAAATAGGCTACAAAACTCTGCTGTGGCCCGGCCAGTTCCACTAAGGATTTCCCTGGAGCAAGAGCCCGAACGATTCACCCCACCACCTGTATTTTTCAAGGAGCTTCCGCCGCATCTCAGGCACCCGCAAGCAGAAATACGCTCTGCCACCTGCATAAAGACAGATAAACCGGGACAGATGAGGTAAAATTTCTCACTTTTGTCCATAGTAGTCCTCAAAGAACTTCTCCTTCCATTGCTCCACTCTCTTCTCCTTTTCCATCTCCTGCCGAATTCGAACTTGCATCTCATGGGTGAATTCACCTACATGGAAGCAAGAGACCGAAATTCAGTTCCAAACAACACCGATTCTGCAAATACAAGCTTTTGTGTTTTAACAGTACAGTAGCTGTATATACAAAGGACACATTTTCTGTTGTCACCCTGCTACGGATGCACATGCCGCCTGCAACTCTTTTAGGGTAACGGTCACACAGCCTCAAGCAAGTCTGAAAAAACAAAATCATGTTTTACCAGACACAGGCTGCCATTTAAGGAAAGATAAGTCTGGCACTGCTTTACACCTCCACCGCTTTGCTCTGAAGGTCACCAAAGGCAAACACATCTTTGATTTAAAAGAATAAAAAAAAAAAAAGTTGGGGCCAGCATAACCAGATATACTGCAAAGTTGGTTGAAATGCCTGTTTAACCGTAAAAAAAGCAAAAATTTCCCATAAAATGAGGAGCTATTCTCCAGCCACCTAGCAAAGCAAACCTCCTCACCGTCAGCCAGGCGCTCCCTCCAGCTCTGCGCAGCGTGGGTGAAGAACTCGTTATTGAGGGCGCTGCCGCTGAGACGCATCAGCCCGTCGGCCCCAACCTGAGGGACCGACAGAAAACGCGTCTGCTCCGGCCGCCCTGCACGCCGGGGGCACGGCAGCGAGCGGGGACACCCGGGGGCTGCGCCCTCGTACCTGTCTGTCGACTTCGGGAAGGAGGTAAAGGAGCTGCTGCTGGAAGTGCGAGGGGAGCGCGTTAAAGGTTCTGGAGTTGATCAGAGCTCGCAGGTTTGTGTTGACAAGAATGGAACCGGGCGTCTCGAAGTCAATATCCTCACCCCTGTTGCGTTTCATCTGCCCTGTAGTTTAAGGACAGGCAAATAAAAGAAACACTGTCGTGTGAAAGTATTTCATTACGGGCAAGAATCTCAAACTACGTCAACCTCAAACGGGTAATCTCAAACTACGCCAGCGAAAGGAGCAAGATCTGCGAGAGGAGACTGCAGCGTTCGAGTATGAAGACAGGGTCTCACACACACTCATTAATAAACGTGCATCCGCAATTTTGACACAAGGTCTCACTTCTGCCACATTCAGGTACAATTCCCGACCAGGCACACTTTTAAACAATTATCTCGCTAACGCCCGGGGAGGAAGTCTGGCTCGCGAGGCTCAGGATGGTCACGGGCCCTTCCAAAGGAAGAGAAACCTGGCGTCCTTCCTCAGACACACCCAGGCCTCAGCACCGCCTGCTCGCACGGCCAACTCTTGCTCCAAGCCCCGCAGAAGCACCTACCAGCTGCGGGCTTTCGGATACCCCTCAGAAGCTGCGGAGGATCCCGGTTTATTTCTGTTCTGCTGCGCAAGGTGGCTTTGCACAGGGCCAGGGAGCTGCTGCTGCTGCTGGATGTGCTGCTGCTCTCCCCGTCAGCGTGCCTTCCTGTGAAGCCTGAAGGTAAACATTTCATAAAAACCAGGCAGAGAACAGCAGAAGCCCAACTTGGAGAGTGGTTTAACACACAAGAATCACCTGCTAACAAGAGATCCCCTGTTACAGGGTATTGCTCAGCTACCAACTGTCTTGATGGAGTCAAACCCACACACAACTCTGCAGGCGCATGCGCTCTCAGAAAGCATTGAAGGAATCCTTGAGCTTGTCGATAACCAGGGACTCCTGACTAAAAGCTCGTGCAGTCACTCAGAACCCACCCCAACGCAAGCGATGCTCACCGGAGGCAGACTCCATGTGCGCCCCGTTTACTTTCAGTGGTGTTAGGACAACACGTGGCAGCATTACACCAGTCTTCTTCTTTTGTTTGGTTGTCTGCAGTCCAGGAAGAGACCAAAAACAAAGCAGAAAGAACAAAAACGTCACAGAGGGGTAAAATCACCTTCTAGGCAGCATGTTCCTCAGTTTCAAGAGCCACCTTGCTCCTAGGTGGCCCTTCAGGTGCCGTTACATTTACGAATAGCAGAGAATTCAGAATTACCCTCCCGCACATGAGCCCTCCCCACGCTGCAAACCCCCCGCAGCCCCTCGGAGGCACCCGGGCACACCCAGTCCCA